CGCCTCCTTGGCCAGCGTCGGGTCGCCCAGAGTGTCGGCTTTGATGATGTCCTCGAAACCGGCCAGATCGCACAGCGCCAACACGCTGCAGTACTCGTTGTCGTGGAGGCGGGAGCGTGAGTGCAGTCGAATGAGCAGCACCAGATGCGACCGAGACGAGGTGGGATTGAGCGCCGTCTTGCCGGTGCGTCGACGCACACGACACACACAAAGCAGGTCGTGGACATCGCGTTCCGTCTGTATGGGCACCGTGTGCAGGTAGTCCATCATGCGCTCGAGGCCCAGGTCGACGCGTAGGTGCAGACCCGTCTCGCCGCTCAAGAGGTCAATGAACGTGTCGTTGTACACTTCAATCGTGGCCACCGTCAGTCGGCAGTCCCACTCGGCTCGCCGAGCCTCGCGCTCATTCAGCACCGTCTGGAGGGCGCGTTGAGCGATGCCCTGCGTCTCCGGCGCCCCGTTCAGTCCACCCAACAGCGTGTACGTCTTGCCGCTCGCCTCGCCTCCGTACGTCAGGAAGCAGACGTTGTAGCCGTCCAAGAAGGAGCAGACCAACGTCGAAATCTCCGCGTACACGTCGGCCTGAGTGGCGTGCACATCGAAGACGCGATCAAATTTGTACTCCTCCGTGGCGACCCCGCCGCCCGAGCCTCCGCATCCGCCGACAGCCCCGACTCCGCCGGACCCACTGCCGCCTCCGGCGCCAGAGATGCCGAGGCCGGTCACTCCGACGGCGTAGCCGGAGCCGGAGGCTGCTGCCAGGCCGGCGGGGCTGAGGCCGAGGGCAAGTGTGATGGCATCCGACGAGCGCACCTCGACGCAACTGGGCGCATGCGGAATGCCTCGACAGCGGCAGTAGACGCGAATGTTGCCCAAGTACTCCTGCATCATGTTGAAGACCATCTTGCGCCGGTGCTCCTCCAGCCGGAGCATGGTCTTCAGGGCGCTGTTCTCTTGCGTCAACTTGCCAACCTGGCCGCAGAGGGACTCGGTGTTGTTAACGGACGCAGAGCCAGACGCGACGCCGGATGACGCCAGCGAGGCAAAGGCTCGCGCAGCACCGGACCCCGAGACGTCTGCGTCGACAGCAGAGTCGCCGGAAAACTTGGCCTCCGAGTCAGCGCCAACCTCATGCGTTGGCTTGGTCCCTTGGTTGGCGATCAAGGCCTGACGTATGGAATCCTCGGTGAGCCGAATCAAACCGAAAGAGCAGTCTTTGATGAAGGTGCGCAGACGATCGAGCCGACGCCCAGCGTCTTGAGAGGAACGCTTCAAAAGATGCACCTGATTGGTTAGCACAAGGGAGGACAGAATGTACGCAAATCGGCGTCAAATGGTGCACAAACAGTGTGTATGCGGCAGGGAAAACGGGCGCAATCAAAGGGTCAAGTATGTACTGCTCAACATTTTGAGCACAAAGGGAATGTTACACAGCCTTACTATCCCAAAAGCTATTCTCATCAATACCCCTAACGGGACTCGGCTCCGAGTAGTCATAATGTAGCGTATACTCTCGACACATTGGCCAATAAGCCTCACTGCCAGATTAGAATTTTAACGAAGGCCAGACAATTTTCCATATAACATTCTG